TCAAGAGATGCTTTTTGGATGGCTGAGATAGAGAAGTTGAAATCAGAGATCTGGAAGAAACAAGGAAGTAGTCCCGCTGTCCCTTCCCAAGAGGCTAGCTGCTCACCTAAATTCAGGGAAGGTGGGCAGAATCAACAAGTGGCAAGGAAGAATCTAAAGGACTCATTTGATGCAGAACTTGAACCACTCAGAGAGAATAGTGACATTGGTGATGAGTGTAATCATATACTGTCCGTGGCTGAGCATGTTGATGAGAAACAACATGAAAAAGAAAGAGAAAAGAATGAGAGAGAAGATCAAGAAATTGATACTGTGGAGAAGCTTGTGGAAGTTGGAGGACTTAAAGTAGAGAAGAAAGCAGAAAAAGATGTCTTCGTTGATGTTGATTCCGGGGAGAGCCAAATGGCACAGCTTGCTGTTGGTTCTGTGGACAATATTGTTGCACATGCAAAGGTGTATGGATTCTCCCGGATGGATGACCTCACCCTACATGGTGAAAAACTGGGTGAAGAATATGCAAAGGTGTCCATTACAGAAGCAATAAAAGGTTTGCATGAGCAAGTTATTAATATTTTGAATGTATTAGCTAAGGTCGAAATGCACACATTTTAGAAGTACTCATGTTTTTAATCTTTGATATTTGCCAGATGTTGACATTCCAGTCCCAATCCCCGGTGAAGTACTTACTGTTGAACAAGCCAAAGGAACTTTTGTAGCATGGCTTAAGGAGCTGATAGTCTTGGATGTGCTTCTTAAAGGAAAGGTTATTATGTCTCTACTATTATGTCTACTTGATTCTTTTAGATAATATATTTACCCACGTGCACATTTTTATAGAGCAATTTAAAAACTGTCAAAAAGAAAAAGGCCACTAAAAGATTGAAAAAGGCACATGTTCAAGACGATGAGGAATGTGGCCAAGAGTTCCAAGTAGAATTTGGTGCTGAGTATCCACTGCAGTTGAAACGGCTATGGTTGTGGGCTAAGGAAGCATTGTCTGATGATAGAGCACATACTTTTGTCCTTAATAAAGATGCCTTTGGGGTGGAAAAGAAGTTATCAGTTTTTCT